TGACGAGTCCAGCCAGCAGCCCATCACCCGTTGATGCAATCCCATCCAGCCGAAGCATCCCAGCCCGAAGCATGCTCCTCCCCCCGGGCTTCCTCACGCCCCTTGGCGCGCCATGTCTCGACGGCGTCGGCGCGGTTCCACGTCTGCTCTTCGAGCCGGCGCAGGTCACGGCCGATGCCGCGCAGCACGGCATTGGCCTTGCGCAGGCGCGTCTCGGCGCTCGTGTTCTCGACGGCGCTCAGCCGGTCGAGCTCGCCGACGAGCCAGCCGGCATGGGTTCGTAGAGCGACAGCGTCGTGCCCGTGCGCGCGAGCAGCGTGCCGCGCGTCAGCGACCAGATGAGCGTCTGCACGACGATGCTCTGCGTCGTCTTGGCGTCCCGCGTCCAGGGCATGAATCTCGTAAAGGCGCGTATCGTCTCCGGCTCGGTCATGGCCTGGGACGTTAGTCGGCTGTCTGTCCGTATGCTGCGATCTGGGGCAGCCCAAAAAGGGGCAGAAAGGGGGAACACAAAAGGAGGAGACAAAAAGGAGGCAACGTACGTGGCTCGGCATGATGTTGGTCCTCGCATTCTTGATCGTCACCGCCGCCGCCGCCGTCGCAGCCCCCTCAGCCGGCGGCGCGCCGTACAGCAACGCCTGCCACTGGGCCGCCAGGTCCGGGGGCGCCGTGTCCCGGGCGTGCGCCAGCGTCTGGTACAGCGCCTCGTTCGCTATGGCCAGGTACGTCGCGTTGCTGTCTGCTTTCTGCGTAGCGGGTCAGCCGGGAACGGGGCAGACGACATGCGCACGGCAGAGATCGCTCAGCCGGGAGAAGGGGGGACGGATCGTGTGCTCACCCTCTGCCATGATGTCGCGTCGAGGCCGGCGCTCGTCGCGGAGGGCTGCCAGGTGGCGTTGGCGGGCACGCGGAGGTGGGGGATCGTGAAGCCCGGGCGCGCGGGGTAGCCCTGGAGGATGGCGTAGACGGGGGCGGCGCGCTTGGCGATGCGGGCGACGAGGCTTGCGGCGAGGGCTGTCTGGTCGGGGTTGCAGCCGAAGGCGAGGCAGCGGCCGATGCGCTCGAGCGAGGCGCGGCCGTTGAAGGTCGGCAGGCGGTTGGACATGGCGGGGTGTCTGGGGGGGTGTCTGCGAGGAGGGGGAGAGTTTCGGTGGTCGGATTTCGGAGGAGGCTCGTTGCTGCTGTCGTTCGCAGTACAGAGAGCCGAATGTCGTGATCAGAGGCCTTGGTGGTTTGCTCGCATGGCTCGCCACGGGGCATGGGCTCGCGAGCTGTGGTGGAGACGGAACTGCGATAAGATAAGCCCGGGCAGCTTCATGGCATGAAGCGAGAGGTTGCATCATGAGGCAGTGGACAATCCATCATAGGCATCAACACCATCACAGAAGACGGCACAGAAGACAAGACTGCCGCTCCACGCTCTCCTCTCCCCATGTAGCCGCAGCGCGAAACTTGTCACGGCCACCCACGCGACACGATGAGCGTCAACCCCGAGCTGCGACGCCAGGTCATCGCCATGTACAAAGGTGCCATTCCCCTGCTCTCCCTCGGCTGCGGACCTCGACAACGACATGACAACGCGGCGCATCTTCATCTTTGCTTGCTGTCTACATGACGTTCCTCGAAAAAGTCGCTGACGACGCAGAGCTCCTGTTCCTGGGCCGCGAATACCCCCTCGGCTTCGCCTACTTTCGCCCGCGCCTGCACAAGGCCTTCGCCGCCAACGCGGGGCTGCGCGACGAGGCGGCGATTCGCAGGGGCCTCGAGCGGGCCGAGTTTGTGAAGAAGGGTCAGTGTGCTCGTTGTTCTGGTCGTCTTGTTGCTTGCTCTGTTGTCTTGTTGCTTGCTCTGTTGTCTTGTTGCTTGTTCTGGTTGGACTTATCGCGTACATGACGATGGGCTGACTTTTGTTTCGTCGTGACAGAGATTGAAGCGCTGTGAGTTTGCCACGGTCTCTCGTTTGCGCGTGTCCTTTTTGGGCATCGCCCCATGGCCTCTCTTCTCTTATGGTCGAGTCGAGTCTGCGAGATGTATTCCAAACGAGTGCCGCCCTCGAGTGACGTTGGGGACGACTAGTCTTCGTCTTCACCCCTGATCACTCATCTCCCATCATGAGGGTGGTGAATCAACTGGTAGTGCCGGTTGCTTCTACTTCACAGTGGCCATACACATACCTCTCCCTCGCCACCGTACCAGACCCCAAAACACCGCCTGAGCACAGGACACAAGACAGACACGGAGAAGCGAGCCGAGAAGTAGAGTCTATTCGTCCCCATCATATCAATCTGAATACGCAATCCCATCGCAACCCCCCCCTGCGTCGTCTCCCCCTTTCTCAGAACCTGCATACAGCCTCAAGCTGACCCGGCCCAGCTACTACCTCAAACGCTACCGCACGCTGCGGAAGCGCTACGTGCCGGACGCGTGAGGCTCGTGAGAGATGGACAGGCAGCAGCAAAACGCGCGAAACGGGATAGAGATAGATAGAACCCCGAAAACGAAATATACAAAAAAAGTCATTCCATCATGCTGCCCCAATCTGAATGTAAAATGGCCCTCCTGCAAATGGCATGAACGGGAAAGAAAAGAAAACCAAGGGAAAACATGTATCAATGCCCAGCCTTGTCC